GTATATATGTATGTATTATTATATATATATATATATATATATATACTTGTGTGTATTTGGAAATATTACTATTAATACCTTATTTCTGTTGAATTCCTCTGGGGTTTAAGGGTGTTATTGCAGTATGTTGGTGCAGTATATTTCGCCAGGAATCAGCTATCAGGGCTCTAAAACAGGTCGGTCTGCTACGATGTGTTCACTATATATAGGTTCACTACTATCGCTAGACGTGTAGTTCACATTAATTTTTTTATACAAATACAAATGGAGACATGACCCACAAGCTGTCGTTCCTAAACAAGCTGCGTCCCTGTGAATATTATGTTTCAGGCTATATATGTACATAGAGATCTCATATCTAGTTTATGTGGTACATATGTATATACCATATACTTGGCCCCCGCCAACATCCCTCTCTCACCCCCCTGCCCTTAATTCTGAAACTGAGGAATGGCTACTTAAGCCTCATTTGTAGTCTACTACACTGCGTATAGATCGTATCGCAACGCACAAACGGTCGTGCATATACATCACGTACTCGCAATGACTTTCGCTGCTATGGGATTTATGTGATTTAATATATACCCGATGACTTAAATATGGGATGCAATGACATAATATATATATATATATATATATATACTTGCTTAAGTTTCTCATACTCAAACACTTCAGGGGTGATGAATAGAGCCCAATTTGTAGTACACAGTGCTGTGCACTTACACTACCTACCCAACTATAACTCTGTCTGCGATGATGTTTTGTTGGTATATAGTTTAAATGCAAAGATATGAGTTCTACGTGCATAGCTCGTGAAAAAAAATCAACAACGTATATATATATCTCTCTAAATATATATATATATATAACTGCTTTAATTTCCACCTCAGGAGTGATCAACAAGGCTGGATTTGTAGTGCACAGTGCCGTACACCGAGCAAGACATGACGCACAGGCAGTCATGCACATACACCACCCACCCACAATGGCTGTGTCTGCTATGAAGTGCGGGTTACTACCATTGACCCAGGACAGTTGTATACTGGGTAAAATCAGTTACCATAACTACGAAGGAATCGCCATCGATAAAAAGGAGATTGAGTCCCTGGGACGTGATTGTGGAGAAACTAACAGGGTAAGAGGAGGGTGCATTGTGCTATATGTGTGCATTCACATATGTATACATCTCATGAGTGCGTATGTGTGTAGAGTTGAAGGGATGTATTATCTGCCGATTAGCATATGTATACATTGTCAACGTATTTCGAACACCCACCCCCAACTGATCTGCGTTGATGTGTCATGCGCATTCACACTTCCCATGTATCGTGGCAACGGATTCAGGGTATCTATCTCTGTGCATGTTTCTTCTCTTTTTAGGTTAATTTAGGATTGGTATCATGCATACATTTGTCTACTCTACGCACGGGTAATCATTTCTTGTTCACGACGTATATGACTAGTGATTCACCCAAGCATATATTGACATACATACATATCCGATATATATATTTAAATAAATTGCAGGTGATGATGCTCAAGAACCATGGTGCACTGACTCTGGGCAGGTCTGTTGGCGAAATGTTCCTGTTAATGTACTACGTGGTCAAGGTATGTTTTACGGCTGGATGTTTTATTCGCGTCTATACGCATAGAACATACCTACATGTATATATTCATCTACAAATTGACGTGTCTGTACATCCCGATGGACATTTAAACCAACTTACACCTATCCAGCAATGTCATTGGGCCACATGGTCTGCAGCTCTACCGAAGTTGTGTCAAATAAATTTATCCGTCATATGGATAGAGGTTTTCTAGAAATAATTGGCCGATAATATTTATGTATATATTATATATATTATTATATAATATATTTTTTTATTACATATATAAATATATATATCGATATATGTATATATATATATATTGTGATATTTACACTATATATCTTGCATTGCTGCTTGGTGTGGTAGACGATTTCACTGGCTAGCTCGATGTGCGTACGATAATATGTACGACATTCGACACGATTTGTTGTAGCCTATAGCTGTAGACACCGGGAGAATCGGCGGTGACACGGTGTTGTCCTATATACGACATTTTTTTTCTTGTTCTTAAATCTCGTGTGAAACTGTGGTGTGATTAAGACGAATGGTGCGCACGTTGTATGTTTCCAACAGTCGTGCCACTCACATATATATATATATAGGTACGCTTTTGCTAAGATTTAATACACTATATCGCATACTTATTATTCTTATACTACAGAAGCTTGCTGTACGTAACATCTCATGTCATGTACGTTGTACTTTCTTCCTACAGTCATGTGAGTCTCAAGTGCAGGCTTTTTCTGCTGGCGGTATTGACGCAGTACATCAAATCCCACAGGCGACGCGCGAATTAGTACACAAGCAGGCCACGAGCTTCAATGCCGAGTATGTGACATACAAAGTTTCATCGGATATATCTATATGTCTATCTATATATATATATACATTTCTATATATTTCTATATATATGTGTGTGTGCGTGTGTGTGTATGTATATGTACGTGTGTTTCGATAAACGTATATGTAAATATGCCTATATCGATTTACATAGTTGTCGCAGTCGGCATTCACCTTTCCAAAATGAAAGGTCCAATTTTATCTTTCGTCTCGGCACGCATTTCGACTTGCAGAGAGAGTGGGGTATGTGAATAGAACTTAGTAGTTATATATAGTAGTATTATCTGTGTCGGGGACCTGTACTCAGAAAAGGTATGACCGCGTCCGGGTATGTATTCGGGTTCTCATCTCCTCCACTACCTTAACTGAGACACAGTTTAGTACCTGCAGCAGTATTGTGAAGTCGAGACGGTTGATGGGCGTACCGATAGTTGCTCGCCCAAATTAACATGGATCATCGATCCAGCTACAACTAGTGTGACTTGGCTCATAACACTTTTTATTTCAAAGTTTATACAAGCTTTTTTGTTATTAATGCACTAATTTGGTCGTAGTTGTGTATAACCAGCGCTGTGGCATGGCTTCGGTATAGCGCGTAGTAGGACGGTGGCGACCAGTGCTGTACGTTTTGCTGGCAACGTTTGGTCTCATCAATTTGTTTTGCCTAGATTTATTCGTTTGTGTTAGAATTGTGCAGAGAGTTAGTACCATCTGGTGTTTATTATATCTGCAATATCTATCGGTCAGTTCCGAATTTTGACCACGCATAAGTACTGGTCGAGTGACTATGCTGATGTCTATCAATAATCACCAAAATCGACAAAAATCGACATCGCACATTTAATATACAAAAATAAAAACACTATCTATATATATGTATACGTGTATATCGATAGATACCTTCAAATAGTTCAGCACTCGGCATAAATATTTAATTTGTATACTTCTTGTTCGCAGGGTTGGAAAGACCGAGTTCGAGTATTTGAGACGTCAACTAAACAACGTCTCTACCGAATACATGAATTAAGGGGCAACAGTCGATTCCCAGAAGCTGTGACGGAAAGTCGCGCCCAGAACGAGTTTCGATCAGTAAAATAAACATATATATATTATTATTCGATAGAGCACAAATATAAAACCATTATTTTAAATATATACAATATATATATATATCTCCCTAAAACACCTGATGTATATGTATTTGTGTGGGTGTATGTATCTATGTATATATTATATTAATTGTGAGAAGATATTCACGCTAGTTAGAACACAACTTCTTTTAATAGTAGTATATAATGAGTTGGTGAAAGACTAGACTGTAATTCTGGGCCCAAATATATATAGTTGATAATGTGTCAGTATAATCATTTGGTTCAACACAGAAAATACATATATATATATTAAACCC